CATACAATTGGAACATTTCATATTATCACAGCATTTTTAGTGATTGTACCTGCAAAATAAGTCACCATGGGCCCCAAGAAAGCTTCTAGTGCCAACCCTGTGATAAAAAGGGTGAGAATTAGTATGGAAATTAAGAAAAGATTTTGAAGGGTTTGGGGCTAACCCTGAGACACCTATGCCAGTTGTGAAATCCATTGTGCCTACTTCAAAGATTAAGGAAATGTGTGCAAAGTGGGTTGAACTGCAAACCTTTATGGATGAAAATCACCCTAACACAGCTATTGCAAGCCATGCTGGTGACTATTACAATGACAATGTTGTGGCCCATTTTAGGCAAATCTTAAAGGAACGGGAGGTACAAACCTCTATAGACAGATTTGTTGTGCGACAGAGGTCCAGTGACTCTCAAGCTGGTCCTAGTGGCATTAAAAGAAGAAGGGAAGTGTTACGTTGGTATGTCCCTTATTACTTTGATAGTAAGGTTCTCACTACATGTTCTAGTGTGGGGTAGCTTTTTACTTAATGGCCTTATCTGTCTAGGGGTAATACTTACATCATGGCTGATCATCTTGAGTGTGTCTGATATCTTTTCACCAGCCCTCTTCACAGGTTATGTAAACTACTACTATAAAAATATAACTATTCTAAATAGATATGTACAGAATATACAATTACAGCCTCACATTTTCAAAACAAAAATCTACACACTCCATAGCTGTTCTCCCACATGGTGCATCTCAGCAACTTTGTCCTTCTCTCTTCTTGACTAACTCTGGGCTAACCAGTGTTTTGACACACTTTAGTCACCCTGGGTATGGTGGCCACAACTTAAGTTATAAAAACTCACCCCTGGAGCACACATAATGCCCTAAAAAGATAGAAAAAAGGACCCAGAGGTCCTGCCACCTCCATGTCAACAAATGAAGAGAGAGAGAGAGAGGGAGGGGGAGGAGCCTAGCTAAGCTCCTCCCACACCCACCAAAACAAAAGACTGTTGCCAAGCACAACTCTCCAGTTACCACAATTCTACCACACCTTAATTTTACTTTTACAAAAAGAAATACAACTTCATAAACTACGTGTCTATAGTATAATCTATTATATTGAGAAAAAAGGCTTGACCCAGCTGCCTCTCAGTCCTAAGGGTATTCAGTCCTTATGACATTTAGAGCTAAGTCCCCATCAATTCAATATAATTAGGTATTCCAGAGTAACTGTTACTTATAAATACATGTTGGGTCCTATAGCCCCATAAGAGGAAGTAACCCCGGAAAAGGACTTGATACCTCAACTCCTAATGGAAGGGGATTCCCCTTCTAAACATTAACAACTTCCACACTCTCCCCTCCTCCCATCCCATCAATCATCACCAGATCTTCAATAAAGGTAAGTGTCATTTTGTGTGTATTAAAATTAATGTTTAATGTGGTAAAAATTTTTTTTTTTCATACTTTGGGGTGTCTTGCACGGATTAATTTGATTTCCATTATTTCTTATGGGGAAAATTAATTCAGCTAACGATGAGCTTTCAGGAATGGATTAATATCGTTAGCTGAGGGTTCACTGTATTTTTCAGCCGCTTTGTGGTCCGAACTGGCAGCCTCACCATGCCTTACCACACTGTGTATGCCACTACAGTTCTTAAATCTCTCAAACCAACCTTTGCTGGCCTTAAATTCACTCACATCACCACTAGTTGCAGGCAATTTCTTTACCAGATCGTCGTGCAACTGCCTAGTCTTTTCACAAATAATCGACTGCTAATTGTTTCTCGTTTATCCACACCAATAATAACTTCTCAACCTCTTCGAGTACTGGTGATCTCATTTTTGTCAGCATATTTACCCCCTTTACAACAACAGTGTCCTTGATTTCCTTTTTCTTGGCCACAATGGAAGCTATGGTTGTATGGGGTTTGTTATACATCCTGGCCAGTTTGGCCATACGTACGCCACTTTCATATTGTTCAATGATGCTTTTCTTAAATTCAATCGTATTTCTCACCTACTTTACCAAAGGCTTGGCACTAGGAGCTTTCTTTGGAGCCATGGTAGCTTATTTAGTAGTTGCAAGCACTAAAATGAATGGAATATTATGAAATATTTTGTATGAGCAAGTGAGGGGACCATTGCTCACTGGTAAACAATGCCACACTGGCTGGGAAGGGAGGCCGGGGCGGCTCAGAGCGTGAATACGCGTCCTGGATGAATGACTATTCGTGAGTCAATCTACAATTAGCGAGCCAATATTTTGACGAAAATATCGTTACGATTTCCGAAAATTACAACTATTGAGCCCTACGATTATCGAGGGACCACTGTATAGTATTTATGGTTGTATTCTCGTTTTCTTGGTCTCATTTGATAGAATGGAAAACATATTATAGAAATAGAGGTGATTTTGATTGGTTTACTATGAAAAGAACCTTGAAATGGAGCTCAAAGTAGGGGAAATGTTTGATTTTTGCTGATGTTCAAAAGTAAACAAATAATGTCATTTTCCAATAAATGTCCAAGTAGCCATTCTAATATGCAGTCATGAATGGGTTGACATTATTTATACAATTATTACAATATTGCAGTAGTCTGCATAACAGTAAATCTTCTATTTTTTGTTCAATAAAAATTCAAAATAGAAAGCAAGAGTAATATCAGAGGGGCCTGGAGATGTGACTGATGAACAAAGAAAATGTTATTTTAGAGCCAGGAATGTCTGCATTGTTCATTCTGGACCCTATTTTGAAATTGTCATATTTTTTAATTTTCGTGAAATTTGCCAAATTGGGTAGTTCAAATCGGTAAATGGTCAGTTTCTTGTACTCGATCGATAGAACAAATGGAGTTCTAAAGAAATAGCTATGAGTTTGGTTGACTGGAACAATGGAATTAGCTGAAAATAGGGCTCAAAGTGGGCGAAATTGCCGATTCATAAATATCGTCGAGGTCGCTGACCTCGCGAGAGCGTAATTCCGTCAGTTTTCCATCAAGTTTCGTTCTTTTGGTGTCATTACAATCGGGAAAAGATTCTCTATCATTTCCTAAGAAAATTTTTTTTTTTTTTTTTTTAAATTTTGCGACACCAAGAGACACCTCAGGATTTGGGGTTGCGACAGTCAAGGAGTTAAACAGAAAACATTTATTATGGAACACACCAGTGCACAAGTCTTTGCAGATTTAATTTTAACTTGTTTAAGTTTCTTTGTTCAGTAGACTGTCATTTAACACGAGTTTATTTGGCACGGTTTGGTTATAGCATGATTGAAAATTGCGGCACAATTTTGTACAACACTTCGCAAAATTAACTTTACACGGTTCCGTTTGTGGGCGAGGAAAAAATTTCCCCAGCTCAAGCTGCCGCCTTGTTGTGGGTCAACGGGGGGAACCTCCCGCCATCTGCCACTCCGGACACTCCCACCACCACCATCCTAGCCTTCGTGAATACGTGTGCAGTTCCACTTCTTTCCTACAAGATACCTGTGTTTGTGAATTGTTTTCATCTTTAATTACCATATCTTGTATCTGCCAAGCAATCATGGCACACAGTAGGCATACCAGTGTTGCTAAAAGTGGCAAGAAAAGGTATAAGCATTTAAGTCTTAGAATTAATGAAGAAAATAGAGATATTAGACAAGAGATAGCCTGTGGCCATAATGAAGCTTCACTTTGTGCACATAAGAATGAGGCAAATATAAATTTATGTGATGAATGACTGATTTGGTGACTGACTGACTTACTGATTGACTTACTGATTGACTTACTGACTGACTGACTTACTGATTGACTGACTTACTGATTGACTTACTGACTGACTATATTACTGACTTAACAGACGTACTGACTTAATTGAATGACTTACTGACTGAATTGAATGACTGACTTACTGAGTTGACTGACTGACTTACTGAGTTGACTGACTTACTGACTGACTTAACTGACTTACTGACTTGATTGATTTACTGACTGACTTAAAGTTAGACTTTTTCACTGAAGAGGACCCTGAAATGGTGTCTAGAGCAGCTGGTGCCTTACCATCAGTTGTATAATGTGCTGCGGGGTAAAATTAGACACATGTGCAACTCTTGGGTATCTTTATTGAGGAAACGTTTTGCCACACAGTGGCTTCAACAGTCTATACAAAGGAGAATCTTGAAGAACAGGAGGAGAATGAGGTAATCAGTCCCTTAACCTTGAGTCGATGTGGTCAGTCCATCAATCTTGAATAGAATATGGCATATGTGTGGAGAAGCAGCTTATAAACCATAGGCAGGAGAGGTGCAGCAGTCGTAGGTGGTGTCACATTTGTCCAATATGGAAGTAGGTCGTGCCCAAGGGTTAGGCAAGCGAAGAATTCCCAAGTATTAGGATCCCAAGAAGTTGCAGTGTCTGACAGGATTCTAGATGAATGGTTCAGAGAATTGACATGTTGATAAATTAGACACATGTGCAACTCTTGGGTATCTTTATTGAGGAAACATTTTGCCACACAGTGGCTTTATCAGTCCATACAAAGGAGAATCTTGAAGAACAGGAGGAGAATGAGGTAATCAGTCCCTCAACCTTGAGTTGATGTGGTCAGTCCATCAATCTTGAATAGAATACGGCATATGTGCGGAGAAGCAGCTTATAAACGTAGGCAGGAGAGGTGCAGCAGTCGTAGGTGGTGTCACATTTGTCCAGTGTGGACAAATGTGACACCACCTTCTTGGGCACGACCTACTTCCACATTGGACAAATGTGACACCACCTACGACTGCTGCACCTCTCCTGCCTATGGTTTATAAGCTGCTTCTCCACACATATGCCGTATTCTATTCAAGATTGATGGATTGACCACATCGACTCAAGGTTGAGGGACTGATTACCTCATTCTCCTCCTGTTCTTCAAGATTCTCCTATGTATGGACTGATGAAGCCACTGTGTGGTGAAACGTTTCCTCAATAAAGATACCCAAGAGTTGCGCATGTGTCTAATTTATCATAGAACAGGAATCCATTACAGAATTTACGCACACTTGAGTACAACCATCGACTTTACTACCAGAACTTCAACCATCCACCTCAGCCCAGTAGGGCCACAGCATAACTCTCCACTCTCCACAATCATCCACAAAAACCAGCACCCACAATTTAAGGTAAGAAATACTATTATTTCTGTTGTATTTGTAATCTTGAGCAGTGAAAAAACATAATACATCATGACAGTGAACCACAATTGCATATTCACTTTTATTTTTGTAAGATCTGTTAGTCTAAAAAAAAGCTGTTGGGCTTTTGGGGGCACCCAGGAATGTAACCCTATTTTTTCCATAAGTTCTTCAGTTCATCTAACATGGTTTTACCTAACACGGCTTTTTCAGGAACGTAACTACCATGTTAAATGACGGTCTAGTGTATCTTTTAATGCCAGAATTCATAAGAGACTAATATTAAGGTAAATATAATCACCTGATTACATTTCTTATTAATATTGTTTTACATCTTGCTTTTACAGGTGGAACACCAGACATCAATATGATGGAGGCAATGGTAGGCCTATTATATGGAGAAATGGTTAATATACCTTCCATATACCTTGCTACCCTCAATCAATATGCTCATATGCTTGGCCTTTCACATCAAATCTGTGCCTGTCTAGAAATGAGGAAAGAAAAAAATTCAGTGGAGCTACCAGAAAATAGTAATGATAAAAATGTAGCTAAAAAGAAACACAGTAGAAAGCCTATTTTGATTAAAAGTTCTGAACAAAGAGAAGAAGTGAGTGAAGCCATGGAAGGAGATCAAGAGAATGAAATCAGTCTCATAAGTGAAGCAGTGCAAGACCCATTGGAAGTCTCTTTACACACTAAGCATTCAAGAGAGTATCCCTTATCTGGTTCTACTGTGGTGAAAACTGAATGTAATAATATATTGGAATTGTCTATGTTATGTAGTGATGTTTCAGATATGAATGTTTCAACAAATAATAATTGGACTCCTGTTCCAGTTAGAGAAGAACTTATAAATTATGAACAATCAAATTCACAAATTCAAGACTCCAATACAAATACATATAGTTTTGAGAATTCATCTTTGGAAGCAGTAAGAGACATCACCATAGAAGCATCTATGGAGCCACTAAATATCAAAATGGAAACCATCACTCATACTGACATAGAAAATGGTGGAAATATTCGTAATACAAATGATAGTACAAGTGATATTTTAGGGTTAGTTGTAAATGCAGATGAACAGGTTAATGTATATTATAATGATACTCAACACCTGCAGCATCAAAAAAAGCAACAGAAGCAGAGGTCTATTGGAAAAGGGCTTGTGTGTACAGTTTGTGGATCTTCCTTCCAGCGGTGTGGAGACCTGGTGAAGCATGTGCAACATATGCAGCACTTTACATCACAGTGTCCACTTTGCTTCGTTCAAGTGAGCTTCATACACAAGTTTGTTTTAACTGAATGGTATAAAATGGTATTTTAAGTTTTTCGTGTATGCTATGAAGAGGAGTAATGATATAAAAATCTTTGATAATTTCATGTATTATGTACAATATATAGGAACTATATTTTTGCTTTAGATAAGAGATCTGGAAGGACAACGACTTCACTTTGCTCTTCATGACCAGGAGCTACCGTTCTTTTGCATGTACTGTGATCTCAGGTTTCGAACCCGGGCTGCCTTAACAATGCACACGCCAAAGCATTCCACTACTAAACCGTAAGTACTCACCTAGTTGTGGTTGCAGGGGTCGAGTCATAGTCTTGCATTGCTGCTGGAAATTATAAAAATTATTTTTGATCAGTGAAAAGATAGATTTTCACTTTTGATGTCTTACTTTTATACAAAATGCTATTGCCTGTTTTTAAATATACATAATGGCTTTTTATTAGTTAATTGGCAAGAGGACTCACCACAGTTTCATGTGATAATTTATTTCCATTTTGCCCACCTCCACATTACCCCTGCAGTGAATGTTGTTTTCCCATGATTTATAATGTGTGTGTGTCTTTTTCTTTCAAGTTTCTTCCTTTCATTTATACTGTGTGTGCTTCTTGAGGGTAAACCTAATTTCTTATACATATGCAGTATGTTCTTAGTTTTTGGCACAAGCAAGAGGCGGTAACAGCCGTAACAGCAGCAGCATCCTACCAACTCTTATTCTTCAAGAAACCATTGCTCATCAAAGCTTGTGATGGCCTAATTGAAGGTACAACTGCATGAACCCACGTAGACCACAAAATGACCCAAGAATACCAAGAATGCAACCCAAATCTTGACAAAATAGATGATCTAAGGAAGACAGCCCTGCTAACCCAAACACCTCCTCCGCTGCCAGACAAACACTTAACCCAAGCTCAGGGAAATAAAGCCTTCTCCTCCATAGCTTCACAGTATCTACTTTAGTGATACTATGAAAGGAAATCACAGAAGAAACAACAGCAGTAACAAAAGAATAACACCAAGGACTCTACAACTCAACATGTCTACCCAGCAGGATGCTGGTGTATTATCAACCCCCCCCCCCTCACCACCGCCCTGGGAACATCAACAACAACAAACATGACTGATTACCCCTCCAACTCCACTCCCTTCAAAGGATTCACTCAGGAACATCCAGGTATGATTATTCCTGGCACTATTAGGGAATACATCGTCGTCCTAGAAAATGAAAACAGATATTAAAGCAACACTTGCGCGATATGAATCCAAGGTAACCATCCTCGAGAACAAGATCCAAAATCTTGAAGAGAAGATTACATTGGGAAGTGCTGACACAGAAAATACTCTGAAAATGGCTATAGCCAGTCACTCTGAGCAAATAACAACCCTAAATATGAAGGTTGAAGAAGCAGTCAAGGACTGGAATCAGAACATGCACACTCAACTGAATGAATACCTTGATTTCCAAGATGACAAAACTGAGCAAGATAAGTTGTCTGATGCAGTTATAATAAACAGCCCACACAATCCTAGTGACATAACCCAAACCCAGTGCAAAGAAACTGCTATCAGGATAAGACAGGACCACGTACAAGTTATCCTGCAAAGCAATGAAATCAAAGAAATGCGTTTGCCAGGAAAACAAGGTAGTAAACACAATATTATGATCAGACTTCATTCATATGATAGAAAAAAGGACCTAATTAAAGCTACAATTACAATGAAAAATGGAGTGTACATCAACAAGTGTCTAACGAGAAAACTTCAAAACTTTCTGTTCAGGTTGAGAAAACTTACACAGGAAAACAAAATACATCAGTGCTTCACTCGAGATGGGAAAACACTAGTTAGAAAAACAGCAACAGGACAACAATATGCCATCCCATATGAATGTGATTTCTCTACCTTCCTTAGAAAAGCTGACATTTCCGTAACAGATTAGATAAGTGTCCTTAACACATATGTATGTGTGGTGCATATAGTGTATGTTCCTATTACATTATTGTGCAATTCCTTGTACTCTCTTTTACTTGCTAATACCAACTACCTCAAATACTTTTTACTTCTGTTTTATTGCTATTAATTGCTCAAATTTTGTGTTGCAAGTCAAATCTTACTCCTAAATTAATATTATTTGTGGTTGCTATCTGTCCATTTAATTTTGTTTACCACTACTTATTTTAGTCTTTTTTATTGTGGTGCAATTAGTGTATATTCCTATTATATTATTGTGCAATTCCTTGTACTATCTTTTACTAGCTAGTACCAACTACCTCATATTTTTTACTTTTTTTTAGTGTTATTAATTGCTATTAATTGTGGAGGGAGTAGTAGGTAAATTTGGGGAGCCTTTAATTGAGCTGTGTGTAAAAAGAGGTTTGGTAATAAGTAATGCATATTTTATGAAGAAGAGGATAAATAAATATATAAGGTATGATATAGCACATAATGAAAGTAGTTTGTTAGATTATGTATTGGTGGATAAAAAGTTGATTGGTAGGCTCCAGGTTGTACACGTTTATAGAGGGGCAACTAATATATTGGATCATTATTTAGTTGTAGCTACAGTTAGAGTAAGAGGTAGATCAGAAAAGAGGAAAATGGCAACAACAAGCAAGTGGGAGGTGAAAGTGTATAAACTAAGGGAGAAGGAAGTTCGGGTGAGATATAAGCAACTATTGGCAGAAAGGTGGGCTGGTGCAGTATGGAGTGGGGGGGGGGGGGGGTTTAAAGAGGGTTGGAATAGTTTTACAAATGCAGTATTAGAATGTGGGGCAGAAGTTTGTGGTTATATGAGGGTGGGTGCAGGAGGAAAGAGGAGTGATTGGTGGAATGATGAAGTGAAGGGTGTGATAAAAGAGAATAAGTTAGCTTATGAGAGATTTTTACAAAGCAGAAGTGTTATAAGAAAAGTAGAGTATATGGAGAGTAAAAGAAGGTGAAGAGAGTGGTGAGAGAGTGCAAAAGGAGAGTAGATGATAGTGAGAGAGGCACTGTCAAGAAATTTTAATGAAAATAAAAAAAAATTTTGTAGTGAGTTAAACAAGTTAAGAAAGCCTAGGGAATGAATGGATTTGTCAGTTAAAAACAGAGTAGGGGAGTTAGTAGATGGGGAGATGGAGGTATTGGGTAGATGGTGAGAATTTTTGAGGAGCTTTTAAATGTCGATGAAGAAAGTGAAGCTGTAATTTCATGCACTGGCCAGGGAGGTATACCATCTTTTAGGAGTGAAGAAGAACAGGATGTGAGTGTGGGGGAGGTGCATGAGGTATTACGTAGAATGAAAGGGGGTAAAATAGCTGGAACTGACGGGATCATGACAGAAATGTTAAAAGCAGGGGGGATAGTGTTGGAGTGGTTGATATTTTTGTTTAATAAATGTATGAAAGAGGGGAAGGTACCTAGGGATTGGCAGAGAGCATGTATAGTCTCTTTATATAAAGGGAAGGGGACAAAAGAGATTGAAAAAATTATATAGGAATAAGTTTACTGAGTATACCAGGAAAAGTGTACAGTAGGGTTATAATTGAAAGAATTAGAGGTAAGACAGAATGTAGGATTGCGGATGAGCAAGGAGGTTTTAGAGTGGGTAGGGGATGTGTAGATCAGGTGTTTACATTGAAGCATATATGTGAACAGTATTTAGATAAAGGTAGGGAAGTTTTTATTGCATTTATGGATTTAGAAAAGGCATATGATAGAGTGGATAGAGGAGCAATGTGGCAGATGTTGCAAGTACAGTGGACCCCAGGTTAACGATATTTTTTCACTCCAGAAGTATGTTCAGGTGCCAGTACTGACCGAATTTGTTCCCATAAGAAATATTATGAAGTAGATTAGTCCATTTCAGACCCCCAAACATACACGTACAAACGCACTTACATAAATACACTTACATAATTGGTCGCATTCGGAGGTAATCGTTATGCGGGGGTCCACTGTATATGGAATAGTTGGTAAGTTACTAAATGCTGTAAAGAGTTTTTATTAGGATAGTGAGGCTCAGGTTAGGGTGTGTAGAAGAGAGGGGGACTACTTCTCGGTAAAAGTAGGTCTAAGACAGGGATGTGTAATGTCACCATAGTTGTTTAATACAGTGGACCCCCAGTTAACGATATTTTTTCACTCCAGAAGTATGTTCAGGTGCCAGTACTGACCGAGTTTTTTCCCATAAGAAATATTGTGAAGTAGATTAGTCCATTTCAGACCCCCAAACATACACGTGCAAACGCACTTACATAAATACACTTACATAATTGGTCGCATTCGGAGGTAATCGTTATGCGGGGGTCCACTGTATATTTATAGATGGGTTGTAAAAGAAGTAAATGCTAGGGTGTTTTGGAGAGGGGTGGGATTAAATTATGGGGAATCAAATACAAAATGTGAATTGACACAGTTGATTTTTGCTGATGATACTGTGCTTATGGGAGATTCTAAAGAAAAATTGCAAAGGTTAGTGGACGAGTTTGGGAGTGTGTGTAAAGGTAAAAAGTTGAAAGTTAACATAGAAAAGAGTAAGGTGATGAGGGTATCAAATGATTTAAATAAAGAAAAATTGGATATCAAATTGGGGAGGAGGAGTATTTAAGAAGTGAATGTTTTCAGATATTTGGGAGTTGACGTGTCGGTGGATGGATTTATGAAGGATGAGGTTAATCATAGAATTGATGAGGGAAAAAAGGCGAGTGGTGCTTTGAGGTATATGTGGAGACAAAAAACCGTTATCTATGGAGGCAAAGAAGGGAATGTATGAAAATATAGTAGTACCAACACTCTTATATGGGTGTGAAGCTTGGGGTGTAAATGCAACAGCGAGGAGGTGGTTGGAGGCAGTGGAGATGTCCTGTCTAAGGGCAATGTGTGGTATAAATATTATGCAGAAAATTCGGAGTGTGGAAATTAGGAGAAGGTGTGGAGTTAATAAAAGTATTAGTCAGAGGGCTGAAGAGGGGTTGTTGAGGTGGTTTGGTCATTTAGAGAGAATGGATCAAAGTAGAATGACATGGAGAGCGTATAAATCTGTAGGGGAAAGAAGGCGGGGTAGGGGTCGTCCTCGAAAAGGTTGGAAGAAAGGGGTAAGGGAGATTTTGTGGGCGAGGGGCTTGGACTTCCAGCAGGCGTGCAGAGTGAATGGAGATGAATGGTATTTGGGACCTGATGAGCTGTTGGAGTGTGAGCAGGGTAATATTTAGTGAAGGGATTCAGGGAAATCTATTATTTCGGTATATTGGCAGTTTGGAGGGATATGTTGTGTATCTTTATACGTATATGCT